GTCAATGAAACACCACGATCTTTTTCTTTATCAGACATTCTGCTGTAGTGTTGCTGGGATCATCGTCCCGTGGCATCAACTAATCTGAGTCAAATTTTAGATATCGGCCTCACATTTGACTCTGCAATACTTTGTTGTTCAAAGGAGTTCACGGTTTACTTAGTGGCTAAACATCTCCACTTTGGTCTTGTCTGTCCATTGTTGTCAGATACAACTTTGCAAACTTAACCCATTGCTGACATGTGGGTGGGGATTTTGGGATTATTGTGTTTTCTTTCTTCCTGGCAACCCTTCCTAAACAAGTCATTCTTATTCAGTATCTTTTCTAATTGTACCATCATAAACTTTAACATTTACTGACATCTGTTGCCCTTGGATTTTTTTTTCAGATTTTTCTGAGCATTGCACATCACGAGATTAAAGTGAATTTGGCTGACATTGCGTTAACATACACATGAATGCTCCAGACTAGCAAAATGACAAAACATATACTTTTACAGAGGTGCTCAGACTGTAAGGGTGTACTATTTTTTTTTACATTACTCTATATGAGTACTCAAAGTATTTTTTTTCCAGCATTAGAGAATAAAACCAAAGTGCATGGAGGATATTTAAACTATCCATTATATTTTATATAATCAGAAACAAACAACTCTCCTCCAGTACATCTGTAGAGAAAACATGAATCTTGACAAATATAACAGTACAATGTGGTGCACAGATGTCCAATCTGAGAACACACTTTACAAGAAATACCACAAAATGTAAGGAACTACGTTATCTTCATTCTGCTACATCTGGAGCCTGGTTCTAGCTCACAAAGCTGGAAAATTGTTGGAGAGATAGAGAAGGAGGGAAAAAAGGGTCGTTGTGTACATGCAGTGAAGTGCATGTGTGTATATGTGTGTACTCTCTCATTGCATGAGTGCTATAGGAAATATATTAATAAAACAACTCAATGTGTGGCAGCGATTGCGCCTGGCTACTATAAAAGAGGACTCTTTCGCTCTCATTCACTGAGTTGCACAAAAAGGTGTGACATCATCGGACACACACAAGAGTTTCTACTAACAAGAGACCAAAATAGACCATGACGCCTCTCTTTCTCTCCCCCTCCCTCTGGTAAAATATCTTCTTGTTGTTTATCTTTCTCCCTTTCTTTCCTCATTTGTCTCATTCATTTTCCATTTCAACCATTTCAACATTTCACGATACCCAATTTCTCCTCTTTACAACAATCAGTACCACCTTTCTGTTTTTAACCCTTTTTCTTTTGGTTTATAAAAGACACAGGGTTAGAGTTGGATCAATGTCCCATTATAACATTACTGCAGCGATATAAACGTGCAAGCTAATATCGTACTTACTGTAAACATGAGCTGGCATCCTCCCAGTATGTAATCCAGAAAAGTGTAGTCCCTTGTAATCTAGAGACACGGGAAAAAAGCAAGAAATCAGGAAAATAAGTGCGCAAGTGAGAACTGATCTGCTGAAGATCAGATCTATAAATGAAATTATATTTTCTATCATTCACCATTAACTTTGCTGCAAACATAAACACAGACATTATTCTTTTTAAATATTTTAAACAAACCTGACATATGTTTTTCATGACATAATGTGCAACCAGTAGAGCACCACTTATCTTGTTTGAGCACTCCAATTACAATGAATATTTAGCATGGATTTTACCGTCATTAGTCTAATCCCTGCTGGCAGCCAACAAATATAATTACTATATTAGCCATTTTCTTCATGTGCTGTGCCCTCTGTGTGTCTCTGTACAAAGGCTTGTTCATGATTGTGTGTAAGAAAAAAAAAGAGGGAAAGAAGGAAAGGAATCAATTATGAAAGCTTGTCATTGCACGCACACAGCTTTAATGTCATTCCAACAGGCATCTAAAGACTCCATGGTTCAGCTTAATGTGTCCTCTGTGGGGCTCTGAGCCATCGTACTAATTAGCTATTCAAGTGGAGTTATGAACGCCCAGTTAGAAGTGTGTCAGTTGATCAAAACTGAAATTCACTGAGTCGAGTGTTAAGATGGATCATTAAGACGTGATGAGAGGCCGGATAATTTGTTTGATTTGCTACAGTAGGTGAGTTATTTTTGTTGCTCCTGCTTAGACTGCTAATGGATCAAACTTCTTGAGCTAATATTTAAAACAAAAGTTTGATATACCAGTGGTATTATCAAACTTTACTCAATTGTACTGCTGAATTCATTGTGAAATATCACCTAGCTGTGTTGCTCTGTGTGGACTGGTTTAGTTCATTACTGCAGAACTTTCCAGTGAAGCCTCATGGTTCACTTATAAATCCTGGCGCCAAGGTATGCAAGGTGGTTCGCACGAAATATCAGAAAGTTAAAGTGTACAAGCGGCTGGTAAAGATGTAGCAGCTAAATGGAGAGCATTTCCTTCCGAAGCTGGAGCAACTAAAACACAAATAAGTGGAACTGTAGAAAAACATCACTGCTCTGTTTCTTCTGCCCCCTTCCTAAAAACTTTTCAGGGGACTTTAACTGTCTGTTAACACAAATTTCAATCATCAACACGGTAGTGATCTAGTGCATTTGGCCATGCAGAAGTTCAAGGTGAGCATCGATGTGCAGCTGACAAAGATTCAGCAGCTGTGTGAAGCCATCATGTCACCATGGACCAGCATCTCTGAGCAATGTTCCCAGCAGCTTGTATGCTATGAAGAATTAAGGCAGTTATAAAGGCAACAAGGGGCTCCGAACCGTAACAGTAACAATCACAGTGTTTTTTTTAATCTACTATAAGCCTAGCACCTGTATAATAGGTATAAGCTTTCAGTTAAAACCAACATTAAACCATATGGAAACATCAGAACATGACAACTAATAATGCTGAATGCTTGAGCATGTAAAACCAAAACGTTGCTTTCATTCTTTTAAAATATCACTCAATTTCCTGACTGACTACAGATTCCCCAGTTTACAACAAAGCTGTAACTATTGTTATTTGCTTTTTAATTTATTAAGAATAAAAATATTGATCTGATTTTAGATTTGGAAACACGTTTGATATGTGAAGCCACAAGTTGAATGTGTCGGTGACAGCAGTAAGAAAAAGAATACATATACTGCAATTCTAAGATTGCTAAGAAACCTTCATCCGTCCTCACCTTGCAGGACTTGACAATGATAACTCCAGAATTTTTATAGTTCTTCTTCTTTTTCTGTTTCTTGGGATTAATGCAGTCAAACTCCACCTGCAGATACAGGAACGGGTAAGAGGAAATGAAAAAAATTAAAATGAATGTGTCATTATCAGTAACAGAGGAGTGGGTTTAGCAGGGACAATACAAGGAGAGGAAAAGCTGAGATAACAGCAGAGTTGAAAAGAGTTGGTGTGAGATGGGAAAATGATCAGAGAGGCAGACGATCGAAAGACTGCGACTTGGATTCACAGCTTCCCCATAACGATGAGAGCAGGTTCACCTTGACTGTCAAACTATAGTGATTACCATTAATACAGTTACCTACATGTAGACAGAAAATGAAAACAATACAGTGTTAAAAAACAGAAAGATTTAATTTTATGTGATGCTGTTGAAAGAAAAGTGAAGGACAGGATGGTTGGTAATACTGTAAGTCACACAGACACACTCTTAGGTGGCAATGTCTGATCAAAACAGACATTTTAGTCAGTCAGCGATTCATATGACAGGTAACTCTAAATGCCTTGTCGTGTTACTAAGGCTCAGCTAAGGGATATTTTACATCTCAAAAGCACTTCTCTTTTTATCTTTCTTTTTTGCATTCCATTCTCGCTCTCTCTCTGCTTACACCCCCCCCCCCCCACTCCCCCCTCATCTCTCCATCCTGCCTCTTATCTTTATTTCCTTGTTACTTCCCCCACCCAACATCATTACCACACATGATGAGACTCAGTGGGAGAACAAGTCATGAGGCCGCTTTGGCACAT